CTGCTACTGCTACTGCTACTACTTCGACTGCTGCTCCTGCTTCTTCTTCCCAACTACTACTGGTACGACTAGTCTTGGTGCTCGCTGCCGCCGCTCTTCCTGCTGCTGCTCACGCTGCTGCTGCCACCGCTGCTGCGATGGCCACATACATGTCAGACCAGCGACGACTCGGGCCCTTCTGGGGTCGCTAAGCTGAAGCTGATTTTGAGCATTGAGTATGGCTGATCATTCGTCGACATAGCCAGCACCAACATGTGCTGCCATGTCCTCCCCGTCTGCTTGTCCGACGAAAACCTGAATCCAGGATTCGTCACTCAGCTGGCAAATGGCCCACGAGCTGCCGGGTCTCCCACTCCGGCTACATCGCTGTCCATGGAGATCGAGCCTTGGAAAACCGCCCCTCCTTCCTCACCCAACTCGGCTCTGTCTTAGCTTCCAACTCCAATTCCTCTGCCGACGTGGAGGCGGCGCAAAACCTGCCATGCTGTGATGGATCCAATCTTGCCCCACATGCACCGGAAGAGCATCAACGAATCAACATGCATCAGAATCGAGGTGCCAAGGCCTTCTGCAACTCGGCCGTTGGCAGCTTTGGCCTTTCGCTGCGGCATGGCAGCATGGCAGCATCACAGAACATCCAACTTTACCTGTACAGGTGCCAGCGACGTCTGCAAGCGACCTGCGGCTGTTGTTCCTCATCTCCTTTGGAGGCACCTTTGACAGTGTTCCAGGAGTGAGATCGACCATTGACAAAGACAGGGATCTGCACCGTCCCGCCTAACAAAGCCGGAGCTTTCAGCAACCACCTTGGGCCATTGGGGCTCAGAGAGCTTGGATGAAGCGAGGCTGAACTCTGGGGTCCCTGCGGGAGCAGATCGTTGGGCTCGGCTTGCTCCGACACCTCAACGCTCAATTCGGCAGCAAAAGCAGCCCTGTTCTGTGCCATCACTGCTGCTCTCTCGGACAGATGGATAGCCTCTTTCCTGCGCCAGACGCTCCGGCGGCCGTCGTATGCAGCCCTGGAAAGAAGTAGTCTGGTCGAAACCACAAGCATCTAGAATCACCAGGCAAGGCCCTGGCCAGACTAGGACATTCGTCGTAGAGGCGGCTTTGTCTAAAACCTGAGTGTCACGTCAATCAACGCTTTGAGGCTCTGTATGTGAAACCGAGTCTCAAGCAGCATTTCCACACGCCCAGCAATCGGATTCAGGCTCTCGCCGCAGAGACAGCACCTGAGGCGGATACGAGAGCGTCACACTCTGACGCCTTCGGCTGCATGGGCTGCAAGGCCTGTTCACGGCCCCCTCGACGAGCCAAACGGGCAGTCAGTGGCCGGGAACGCTCGGGACCTGAAAGCAGTCTTTGTGAGCCGCTGAGCCGCTGCATCGCTGCGTCTGTCGTTCAGCGATGCCGGATTCACACTTGACAGGAACATGTAATCGGAGACTAACCCAGACGTGCCCGCGCAATCTCTCACACAGGGCCCCCTGCCAGACTGCACGACAACATCGTTGTCCTGGTGCAAGCAGTGAGAAGCAGCGCTAGCCTGCACTAGTCTGTCGAATTTGCAAAGTCCTGCCCATCCAGCCATTCACCCAACAGGTCTGAAGCCACGATTCCAGAAGACCCCTCCGAGAGCCAAGAGACCATAACAGGCTTCCGCATGTCTTCGCACTGCGACTTCCACTCGCAACGGCCTTGCCACGACGGAAGGAATCTTTGCCCTGGGCACAGGCTCTGCTGACGCTGCAGTGCTGCATCAAGAAACCATCCGAAACCACGCACCATCACTTGCAAGCGCGGCTTCCGTCAGTAGCTAGGTCTCCCGCTCTCCTGTCAGAGCCTGTAGCAAACGCAGCAGCATTGTCGCAGGGTTTCAAAAGACCGACTGCAGCTTGCCTTCTTCCCAACCACCATCCCAACCTGGCAGATGCCGCCAACTGCTGAGATGCTCACATCTCTCGAGGCACATGCTGGGGCACTGCCTTCTTCAGGCGCGTCTCTTGCTCCCTTCGGAGCCTCGATTCAAGCGAAGAGGAACAGTTAGACCGAGCGTGAAAATGGTGTGCCCACAAATACCGCGCTCTGGTTCTCTGAGACTGGAACCCATTTCCCTTCTCCTTTTCGCCGCCTGCCATGACTTTCGGCGCACAGTCGGTGATCTAGTTTCCATCACACTCCGGTACCTTGGATCTGCTGTGGCCCGGCCTTCCACGGCCTTTGCTGTTTCCCTTCCCTCCTTTCCAGGACCACTCGCCGTAGCCTGCATTTCAGGTTTATTTGGCACTTCTTTTGGTGTCCTAGGTCCTGAGGCCACCACCCTTTCTTCCCCCGCTCCACGCCTTGGGCTGCTTCAAGCTTTCACAGCACCAGAAGCGAGCAAAGAGCGCAAGGAGAGAGAGAGAGAGAGAGAGAGAGAGAGAGAGAGAGCAAGCAATCTTCTTAATGGATCTTGTTTTGGCCTCGCTAGCGCTAGTGAGCTCTTCTGAAGAACACTACCACGCATTCCCCAGCAATGGACTCGTGACAATCGTGACCTTGGAGCCTGAGGCTCAGGCTTCCTCGTCGATGGGACGGTGGTCCCATCCTGGGAATCGAAAAGCAGAAACCGAGCCAAGTTCAAGGGGGTCAAGGGTTCTGGAGCTTGCTCAAAGCCACAGCACTTTCATCAAGGACTCGATGCACTCCAGCCCGTTTTGAAAACGCCCTGGGCTCTGGGCTGTCCGGTTCACGCTGTGGCCTTGCAACGGGGAGCGATTTTGGGTTCTTCGGGATGCCGGGGGCTTTGAAAACGGAGAAGGGCTGAGGCTGTGAGACAAGGCTTGAGTCTTTGGCAATTTGCAAGTCGAGGATTCGGAATTTGGAGCTTGTTCTACTTGCAGAGTTGAAAGAGGAAACGAGCTGGGTGTTTAGGGTTCCGGATCATCCAGTTTAGCGGCTCACAAGGCTGCATACTAGGCAGCGGTGATGAAGATGCCTACACTACACCTAGTCATGCATAAGCTACCAGGTCGTCCACTGTGTTTGTGAGTGGCTGTGGGCGCGGATTGCCGGCCTAGCCCATCTAGCCCTGGGCTTGCCTACACTTGCGCCCGGAACAACAGCACCCCGCTCCAGCGCTGGGCCTCGCTAGGCCTACCCCGAGCGCCCTGGGGCTAGCCAAGCCTATCCCTACCCTGCCCTCGAGCTGAAACCCTGGAAGATTCGAAAAGCCCAGAATGACACGAAAAGTCCACATTGTGGAAAACGCCAACGGTCGAAACGTCGAAAATCGAAAAGAAACTCGATAAGAGCAGAAAACCCGAAAAGTCGAAAGCTTTTCGACTTTGCGAGGTTTGATTCGGTTCGCCGCTTGTCGAAACCAACGCCTGCTTAGGTACTGAACTTGGCCAGGCCAGGTCGGTAAACGGGAAACCTCCACTGCCAAAAGCACCCCGGTTCCCCTGCCAACGATTCCCCAAACTTCATCAATCCGGGGGAGTGCGGGAGTGAGCGCCCTCGGAACGACCCGAGACCTGAAAGCCTGGACTGGACGAGGCCCTGCCCGGCCTGCTCGCAGCAGAAGGCTCAGGGGCATCCTGCAGACCAGACACACACGGCACACGGAGCAAAAGGTAACAAGAACAATAATAATAACAACAACAATAAAAGCAATAAAAACAATAAAAGCAATGATCACAATATAACAAGAATCATGGGTTGTTAGTAGAGGATCATGAAACATGCGACATCATGAGACCGAGGTGCCATCAGTGTGAACATCATACAAGGGCCCTTTCGAAGAGGGGACCACGGCTTTTCACAGCGCAGGCCCATGCGGGAGCCTCTCGGGCAAGGCCTCTCGGGGATGACTACAAAATACCTCGTCATCCTCCAATTGGGAGGTATGTTACGCATCTGATCAGACATTCTGACTGCAGATGTTCTGCAGCAACTGCCGCTGAGCCCTGATCTTGTAAAGATTCCTACCGTCTCTCAGTCTCGCGCAGGAAGACCTTCATAAGGATTCAGTCCGACCACAGGCTGCCCAGTTTGGAGTGCTGCCGTCCAAAGAAGCGCGACTTTCCTGCAACACTCCTGAACATGCTGGAGCGTGAATGGCCGTGCAAGCCAGTGAAAAAGTAAATGACCAGGGGCGAGTCACTACTGTGGAAGTCGTTTCACTTGGAAAAAATGTAGAAAGGTTCCGGCAGCCCCTCAAACCCAATGCTTGGAAGCTCATCTTCACCTGCAACACTTTGAAGATACCCACTCTAATGTCTGCTTTCCTGTGACGCCAAGATTCAAGGCTGGGCTTGCAAGGTCTCCGTCTCCATGCTCACCACCCTCAGCTCCCGGCTCTTGGCATGATAGCAGCTGGCACTGAATATAGACAAGCTGCTCGTGAGCTTCCCGTGCGCTCTGCTCGCTCTCGACGAATGAATTCTTCCAGGGTCATCGCACCCTGCTGAGTAGACCTGACCAGGGCCAGCTTCAGCCCCCTTAGTCGTAGACTAAACTCCCCGGTGACGTCTTTCTGGCTCCCCTAAAAACGGATATAGTCCGGCCTCGCTTGTTCGAAAGAGTCGCTGACAAATGCGCTGCCTCTGCCACCTGCCAAGCTTGAGGAATGCCAGCCCGACCCACACAACAAACTGCAGTAACTCTTCGTGCGAGGGGGTGACATCGTAAGCGCTTCTCACCCAAGGCTCTCTCCTTCCTTCCATTCTTTCTCAGGTCACCACAGCACGGCATTCCCGACTCCCGGCCACCTCGAGCCGTACGCTCCGCACAAATTCGTGCTACTTCATCCGGTCCTGCTTGAGGGTTCCTCAGCACAGAGCCTCCGAAGACTCTGAAAGTGTGCGCTTTCTTTCTTTGGGCCTCCCCGATTTAAGCGCCCGATTTGCTCCAGCCCAGGCGCCCCGCCCTACCGGCCCCTTCAGACCCTTCTGGCGGGGGGCCCCCACTGAGTTTGAGGAGGAGGGGACTTTGCATGCATGAAGGGAGTGCAAAACTTCAAATCTGAGCAAAAACGGCACAGCTCCCGAGTGGGACTTGAGGAGCGCTCGCCTCGCTCAACAACCTTTTTGAAAACTCTTCTCTTTAAATTTATCTTTTAAGACTCTGGGCTCATGCGCGCGTCCCGTCGCTCGCGCGCGAAGGACAGCGCGGAGTGCGCAGCGCTTCCCGGCGACTCTGTCGCTGACCTAGTGCTGGCCTGCCTCGCCACGCCCGAAACCCAGGCGGAGGCTCCGAGCACCGAGGAGCACCGCGTGTCCTAGTCTCCACCCCTCTCTCTTAGTCTTGGGAGGCCCCAAAAACAAGTCAAACCCCCCCTCTTAAGCTCTCTTGCAGCGAGGCCTTCTCGTCCAGGGGTCCGGCTGCGGCTCCGGCCGAGGGATCCCTTCCGACGCGCGCGACCTCGAGGCGCCTCCATCGGGACCAGAGCATCAGTTTCCTGCGGAGCAGAGGTCCCAGTATGGCCTTGGCACCACGAGACACATGGACGCTTACTGAGGGAAGCTGCCCCAAGTTAAAGGGAAGAGCAGTGCAGCACAGGCACTCGCGAGCTGCACAGGCACTGCGTGTGGTTCCTGTCGAGAAAAATCCGAATTCGGTCTTTCCTGGGAGCCTGGAGCTCAAAACTCTCGAGTCCTGCGAGCTCCAAAGTGGAATCTGCCGGCCGCTACGAGGCTCGTACACGGGCTGCAGCTGAAGGACCTTGCTCGCCAGCCGGAAGTGCTCGGCGTACTCCGATGGCACAGTGATTCCAAGAACCCGCAGCTCCTCGGACTCTGCAACGGAAGGGCCGCAAACCCTCACATTGTCACATCGAGCCGGCTTGGCCTGGAATCCACATCTGCCTCCAAAGCCAAGCCAAGCCGCCCTGGCAACGGCCTCCGCCTCGCGGCCGCGCGCCGCCACGACTTGGACGGCCAGTGCGGGCCCAACCCCGCGAAGACGAGGCAAGTAGTCGCAACCTGAGGTTGCATGTTTCTTCTTGCGAGATCTGCGCTCGGCGAAGAGAAGTTGTGTGATTCGGAGCTTCTCTCTGTGTTGCGCCTGAACCGCTCAGAGCCATTGCTTCGGGCAACCCATCTCGAGCGGGGTGCTGCGAAGACAGCCCCGAAGCCAAAGGATGCAACTCAAGATTCCAGTAAACGAGCCGGGTCTGACCACAGAACTCAGGAGCACGCAGCACGCCCAATGACTCAACACTCCCCACTCCCCATCGGTAGCACCACCGGCAACTGAAACCGTCGCACGGTTCTTCGTGGCACTCCTACTTCCTCCTGCGGCAACCGACATAGTGGATGAGCGAGTTGAGCTAGTTGCTTGCTCTGAACCCTGACAGAGCCTTGAGTTCTGTTTCACACCAACCTCTTCATTCTCTTCTCTTGGGAACAGAGTTGCGGAACTCTTGAACTTCCACATCCAGCATGCCGGAAGCGACCAACGCAGAGAACAAAACATCAGCATCAAGAGGAGGGCTTGAGACTCCTCTTCGCTACGCCTGCCTGGTCATACCACAGAAGAACATGAAGACCAAGCTGAAATCTGAAAGGACTCGCCGAGTTGCCCATCAAGATGCAAATCGCCTGGAAGTCCTCCAAGCTTCGACCATTCAGCGCATCATCCAAGATAATCTCTCTGCCATGTCCATCGCCACGGAGCTTGTAGAGCACTCGGGGCGAGCCAAGCGCGAGGAGATCGCTGTCTTCAGAGATGCAGAAGTCAACGTAACCATGCCAAGCCAAATACGCCATTTGAGCATCGGCTTCACACGGTGCATGGATATACCTGCTTGGGACAGCGGTACACAGCTGACGCAAGGGAGGAGAATGAGGGCTCTGCAGCCAGGTCGCCTGACCTCTTCCGCAGCAAGCAAGCGAACAACATCCTCGGCACCAAGCAGACGACACGTGCCATGCGTCCGCTGCATTCCGCTGCCGTATCATCTGACATCGTGCACACTTGCGGGTCTCTGAGGCTTGAATGCGCATGGGTGCTCAATGCTTCTGGACTTCTGGAATGATCCTACGATATCCTACACATTGGTGTTGGTGAGGCGGGGTCTCAAAGGTGCTTAGCTTGAGAAACTCAATCATAGGAGGAGCATCTATGCTGAGGTGGATCGTCCCTCACAGGCTGCATGAGGTAGAGTAGAAAAAGCACAAGAAGGGGAAGGATCGTCAAATAGGACAGCAAAGCAGCAGAGCTCATTAGGTGCTGTAAACTCCTCACACGCAGTCTGATCTACACACATGGACTCAACAAGGTGTCTGGCAGCAGACATCGCCCAATTCGCCGAACTAGAAAGAAAGTCACATCACCTGGACATGGGCCCATGCAGAGAAGGTGCATCGATTTGGTGGTCTTTGATTTCCACCGCCTGGCAAGGGGATGCATTCTGTGGCACCATACTTTGGGGTTCATCCACCAACTCGCCTGGGCAAGGCATGACTTTGCCTGCGCGAAATCTCCCTCACTCAGGCGCAGCTCGCCTAGCATTGCACTCGCAAAGTCAAGCATCCCATTACAAGGCGAGCGCATGTGCGCGCCAAAAAGAGCTGCAAAGACTTCGCTGCCTTCCCTTCGCATGCGCTCCCTTCGCTGACGCCGCTCCTGTAGCAATGCCGCCTTTGCCTCAGACTTGCATGGGTAAACCGCCCTAGGATTCAAAACGTTTAAACAATGCAACACGAGGTCATCGAAGACATCAGAGATCTGAGGCAAACGCAGGGAGCGCTGCACCATCAAACACAAAGACCGGCTCGACACCAAATCTTCGCCTGACTGCTAAACACTCAAATATATCAGTATCAACGACCTGCTGCTGCACAAACCGAGCCAAGTGCAGCAAAGCTGCAGCATCGAGATCCTCTTCGCACAGTATCGGACATGAATCTGGTCATCAACCTCGAGCTCAACATCCACAGCGCCTAGGAGCGAGGGTCGGCCACATCGTGAGTGAAAAGATGCGCTCATCGCCACGGACTAGCACATGCACGTATCACTGCAGACAGGATCACTTCCTGCCAGGGCAGCATGCAACCAACCATGAGCATCAACGGCGGCCCTTTTTCCAGCAAACTCCTGTGAAAGCTCTTGAAGAGTTCCCAAGGATCCCGGTGCAAAAGCTCGCATGCAGTGGCTCTTCGGACAAGCTCGAACTCACAGCCTTGACGTGGCACTCGCGCTGCACATCCTCCAGAGCCTTGAGGAGCCCTTGGATGCCCATCCTGGCTGGCCCGGCCCGATGCCATCGATGCCGCTGAGCCGGGATGCTGCGGAGATGGGTCGTGGCCACACACAAAACACAGAGAGAGCGAGGGAGCAAAGAGAGAAAATGGCCTCGTGGTCTTCACCACCTGTCCAGGATCTGATGTTGGAAACGCTGCAGATCCCCGCAGATCCCTCCTCGCCTTGATCTGGCTGGGGCCCTAAGGCAGGCCAGGCGCGCTTATCTTCCAGTGGCCTGGGTCCAGTGAGTCGGAGGCTCGAGCGTTGCAGACTCCCCCTCTTCCCTTTTGGGCTTCCGGCGCCAGCCGAGCCATGGAGCTCCAAGGGAGTCAGTTCTTCTTTCGTGTCTCCGTTATGTCTGGGAGTCTTACCATGGCCGAATCGACTTCCGGCAATGACTTGCAGGTGATGACGTGATCCAGAGCTCTGAAAGAGGCCCCCCCCCTGCCGATTCCCTCGAGCCAGTGCCGAGACGGATTGGCGATCCTCGTTGTGTTCGGTGTATAACTTCCGGCAGATTCATGGAGCAGTCATTTCTCAGCGTGCCCAGTGCAAAGCCGGAAGAGCCAGCAGTCAGGCGTCAGGGTGCTGATCGCTGGCATCTGCACACATTCCTAGGCACAATGACTCTACAGTGGTCTCGACCCAGCTTCAGGAGATTCTGGCAGTTTCCTTGTCCTGGGCTACCCTGACGGCAAGCACCTTGTTCATGTCCTCCCATGGGTTGACCTCATTCTGGCCCTTTGGCTTGGATTTGAGGTTGATGAAAGTAGCTGGCCAGGCTGCTGGGCAACCATCCTCAGATTTGAGATCTATGGCGGCTTCAGATTCAGCCGGCTTTCCGTCAGCACGCTGCTTCGCCATGGGGGGTTGATCCACTTCACGAGCGTCCTCGACCAGCGCTCTGCCCAGGCGTTTTTTGGGCAAGCGATCAAAGGCAGCTATACATCATTTCAGCCTCGTGAGCCGTGCACCACCGACAATTAACACATGCGAGCACCAGCAACATGGACTCACAGGCCAACAGTCTCACTGAACAATACTGCTTTTCTCTGCCGTGTCCGCAAGCAGCAAGCACATACCCGCCGGTCCCTACAACAGTATCGTGAACACTGCTGAATGGATGGCGTCAGCTTCCACTGGATGAAGCACATCTACGGCATTGAAGCGATGTCCTGATGCAGAGCAACTTTTCTTAAGGAAGCTGCACATCCTTGCGAATGCCACAGAGACGGTGAAACGAAACACCACTGAATGCCTCCTAAGCAGCGCCTCCGAAGAGATTGCAACTGCTACGCCTCGCTCAGAGTGTCAGCTGCAGCGCTGCCGTGGCACCTCGGCTTTCGCAGAACACGCCATGGAGTGTCTCACAGCCCTAGAAGGGTTGACTTGTCGTATGATGTCCGGTGCTTCAGTAGGCTATGAAGTCGAGGTCTTCATATAACACCAGCGCATCTGAGAGAGGGAGCTGGCATCAAGACAGTGGTAAAGGCTCCAACACTTCTTCGTCCAAGTGCCTGCTCTCCAATCAAACCATTGAGGCTGCAGAAAGGCTTGACGAAAGAAGCGCTCTTGCAAAGTGGATGGGCCTTGCATGCAAGCCTGCACAAGCAAGGGAAGAATCCACATGTCACCTCTTCCTTGCCCATGGCAGAATAGCTGGTCGTATGTGGCAAAGAACTCCGCCTCTGTTGAAATACCAGAAAGTTGATTCACTTGCAGAGAAACATAACAAGGACATGGTCTGCAGCACTTCCTCCAACCCTGTCGACATGGAGCTATTGCCGGCGCAGGTCGATTGTGACCTGTTCCTGGAAGGAGTGCGGTCCATGCTCGAGTCGCAAACACTCGCAACAACTAGTTCTGAAGCTGCGACATCAGCCACAACTGACAAATTACTGCAGACTCAGCTCGGACAGGACTAGCGCGTGCAGCGAATGCAGAGGTCCATCCAGTGCACACCAGCGATGACCACTTCGAAGCTGCTATGGGCAAAATGAGAAGCCACAAAGCCAATGCACCCCCTACAGCAGCATGGTCATGACAGGCAAAGAAAGGGCCTTGCACTTGTGAGCATGCAGTTCGCAATCACGGCCGGAAGTGACGAAGAGGTCGAAGTGCTCACAAGATCTTCGCACATTGCAGTTTGGCAAAGCGCGAGTTGGGAATGGGAGGTCAAGCTGACAGAACGATGAATAAGACAAGATTCTATGAACGACGTCACAAGTGGGAACTGAGCTAGTCAGGGGGCACTTTGATGCACAGTAGCGCGGGCCTCAAACAGCAGAAGGTATAAGCTAGAAGTAACTTGAACAGTTCAGCTCACGGGATCCAGTCCGTGAGCCGAGGACTTAAAGAATCGGAGTCTTAATCCCTTCACGGAAAAGCCCCTACGAACCGGTCAGGACGAGGGTTCTCTAAACTTACGCTGCCACTTGCACTGCATCCAGCATTTAAGTGTTTCTTCGCAACAGACATCTCTGACAGAGTATCTTACTGCATTCACGTAGATACTGGGCAGCATTTACACTACAATAAAAGATGGATGTGACTCAGAGTATAGGAGTGTTTCGAAAGGCAATGGCTGCGGGACGGGCAAAGGACGTCAGTGTCCGGCCTGGAAGGCAGCGACCAGCCCTGCCTTGAGGCAAAGGCATGCAGCTATGTACCAAAATGTGGGTCTATCCGTTTAGATGCTGTCCGGAGACACCGCTGTTCATTATGACACCAGGCCCCTTTCATAGTAGGGCATTTGATTGCCATCGTGCCTCCATTCATAGCTTCAAGCGGAACGGAACTGGAATACTCGCACCTGGGGTTGGCACACATCATGACAAGCAGTCCAAGTAATTTAGTCACAACAGACTCTCGGGAGGGCATCCAGGGGCATCGTCGAAGAGACATTCTAACTACATTACTTTCTGGGCACCCACTGCAAGGCTGCAAGGAGCACTTGCTTTTCCTTGCATGGTGCCCATGGTGGATGACCAAGTCACAGCTCATGGCGCACGGCCAGGGCCTTGCGCTGCCTGGACTGAGCTTGGACACCGCTTTCAGAAAGCTCTGGCTAAAGAGCAGAGAAGATGGCTTTCTTCCGATGCTGTGATTCTGTCAACACCCAGAAATCCGAATGATCAACCCATCCAACGCGTGATTCCGGGACAGCATGTGCAAGCTGCTGTCCTTGTGAAGGCAACAATGGCCATCGTCTTTGCACCATCCCGCACTTCTCGCACTCGACCGCGGGCCATAAGCCCTAGCTCTGGAAACGAAGGAAACACAGAAGCAAGAGCATGGACAGTCTTTGGAGTTCACGCGTACTGCCGAACTATGTAACTATGCCATACCGCAACAAAACGTACTTAAGACCTGGTGCTGCACACACCCTCGCGAAATCCTATACAAAGACAACTCAAGTTGCAAGGCAAGAGCAGCAGGGTTTCTACATGAGCTCACCTCGACGGCAGAAGTCACCCGTGTGATGATAAAAGCTGACTAGAACGCATGCCTGGGACAACCCTTCATCGATGATCTACACCTCCCAAAGCCTTCTCAAGCTTCTGTCTGCCACCTGCTCTGAAACCAATGTCAGAAGAAGCACACCGGCCTCCTTTTCCTCTGCGCTTCTGTGCAGCCCACACTTTGCAGCTTCGAAAGGTTTGGTGGGTTTTGTTTCAGCTACGCCCCGGCTTGACAACATTGTCTTAAATCCCATATATCCCATCTCTTCCTGAGGCTAGCACTCTGGCAGGATCTGGACGTCGTCGGAAGGGAGGCAGAACTCAGCGCGAAGGGTTGTCGCAAGAAAGCGGAGGCCATGCAGACTGTTGGATCGAGCAAAAACAAAAAGGCCTCTCTTTCAGCTGTCTCTCGAAGGCTTGAAGAACTGCAGCTCCAAGGCCTGGAGCTTTGGCACTGTGCACGAAATGCCTGCAGCATTCGTCGGACGCACCTCACCGGGTTTCATCCTCTCTTGTGGGTCCAGCCGGCAGCAGTTGCTGACCTCGGCTTTTGTCTGCCAGCCACCCCCACACAGAGCCAACGAGGCTCCGGCCAACTCTGCAAGCTGCACGACCCACTTCTCGTGGTCCTTGCGCTCCACGCCGGCATTGGGGTGCTTCAGCTCTGCCTCTCAGATCATCACTTCTGAGGTCCCAATCTCCTTGAATGCCTGGTGCACCTGTAGCAGATTCAGGACCGTTCTCGTGGGCTTTGACCTGATCGGCATCTGCAGGAAGCCTATGTGCTAGTCAAACCTTGCACCAACTCGACACCGGGATCCCGGACAGCTGTACGACATCTGGAAGTCCAGTGATAGAGTCGGGGTCCTGCGAGGCTTCTTGCAAGCCGCACACACTCGAGCTAACTCGAGCCATGCAGCTACGGCCGGAGGGGGGCCGGGGGCCCCAAACCGGCGAATAACGAAGCTGGCCCGGGCCGGAGTGCCGCAAGCATCAAACGTGTCGATCTCTCGTCACAAAAATGTGCGATCTTGAGTCGTTTTGACACGGCTCCGAACTTCACGAAACATGCCCCAGGCACACCCAGGCTCGGTTCTTGAACCCTGGTCCTTGCTCATGAAGTCGCCATTCTCATTGAAGTGCTTCCTGCAGGCCATCATGTGGACACGGCCAGTCAGGAGGCAGGCATGCACTCATGAAACATGCCTCGCAAATTCTCCGACTTTCCACATCCTCTCTGGAAACTTCCCCACAACGGAGATCATCTTGTTCATCTTGGTATAGCAAAGACTCAGCTGGCATGCTTCTTCACGCGAAATGCCGAGCAAAGCACCATCTGGTTGTTCGTCTTCCCAGTGAACAAGATCTTCCCTGTGGCCAGCTCGTACGTGGTAGTTCCTGCGGGGCTCTGAGGGAACCGAACCGCTTCCGGTCACAGATGGGCGAAGCGCAAAGCACATGAATGCGAAGCCCACGGCTCCGGCACTCCACATGTCAATGCCCATGTCGTACGGAACTCCGAGCATGATCTCTGGAGCTCGGTAGTAGCGGGGCTGGAGGTACCTGGCGGCGTGCCGTGAACATTTCACACAACTCTAACCCTGAGTACGGCCGAAAGCGCACGCAGTCTTCAGCGGCTCTGAGGAGTCCATGGCACTTCCGAAATCGCAAATTTTGATTTCGGCCTCACAGACCACTCACCACTCACCTCTCTCACTCTCAGCTCGAGAGAAGAAGTTGGGCCTTGTTCAGCGTCATGAGGATGTTGTCTGGCTTCAGATCTGCGTGGATGACCTGGCAGACAGGAATCGCAAGATGAAATACAGCACAGCTCTCCTGCCATTTCCTGCCTTTGCAGCTCGCAGCGCGCGAAGTCCCAACATAATTTGCCTGGCCAACGCAGCAACAAAGCTTATGTGCACCTGGATTCTTGGAAAGCCAGAAGCTCAATCAAATCGGTGCAGCTGACACCGGCCCAGCCTTACATACTGCTGCAGAGTCGGTAAGGGAAGACCTGCACCCATGCCGTACCTGACTGCAGCCAGTTTCGCCCGAGGACTCACCGAAGAACACCATGGAGCATGGTGTGACATTTCCACACCTTTCACTGTGCACCTTTCACATCCTTTCACACAACAAAACAGATCCAAACAGTCCGCCGATGATCAGCCAGGACACTTCTGCAAGGCAAAGCGCATGTCGCACTTGAGCAGGTCAAAGACGAGACCTTGGAAGACTTGCCCATGCAAGATACCCTGTCGGATGCCAAGAAAACCAAGCCCGAGATGCTTAAGTGGCCATTGTGCTCAAAGGTCTGCAGGTCGGAGAGGATGATGACGTGCTTGAAGCCCTGATAATTTAAAGCTCATGACTCATGACATGGGACTGGTGTCGTCGAGGGCTCATTTGCAAGTACAAGAGCACATGAAGCGCCTCAGCATCCTCCGCGGAGTTCTTCTCCAAGCGCTTGTACATCTCCACCTGCGTAGCGACAAGCAAGTCGTCCTCGTCTCCCTCTGACGCCTTGAACAGGCCCCGCAGACCTCCTTGTCAGCGGCCCGACGCATCATTCCGTTTGCCCTGATCAACTTGACGGCATAGTCCTTGCCGTCCTGCAGCATACAGCATACACCTCGTCTCGGAAGCGAGCCTCCCAACCCGACACACCGTCCTTCAAGCCCTTGCAGTGGTACACGCTGGAGAAGACTCCTCTGCCGATGGCAGCCTCGCATTTCGGCCCGTACTTGCGGCCAACAGTCGCCGTATGCAACGATGCCATAATGATCCGGTGCCGTCCTCCACCTTGTAGCATCGATTTGGGCCCATCTCCTCCCCGACGGAAGCTGAGTAGTACCTTGGCATGTGACTCAACGGAGCGTTGCCCCAACGTGACGCGCAGAGAACAGAAAAGGGACTCATTCTCGTCCGTCTCGCCCATCTGGACCGACTGGTGCAAAGCCTTCGCCTGGCCGTGAGGCAACTTGTGGCCGCCAAAACGCCCGGCACCGGGACATGTGCCGGACAGGGCAGCAAAGCCGCTAGTCGGACCCACAGAACACGTCGCGGTGCCTTCTCCTTGCGATCTTCGAAGTCCGACTTCGCCTTCAGCGATAGCAAGTGCCGCTTCGATCATGGCTTGGAGAGGCTCGTCCAGAAGAGCACCGACGGACCTTCACGACGAAGAGGCGAAGCTTGTTCCGATCCTCTGCGATGGCCTTTGACAGCCTGAAGCCAGGGAGACCCAAAAAGGAAACGGGCGGGGCCTCGCCCCCCCTAGGGTCCTAGGGAAAGTCTGCACTCGCTGAGGCTCTGGCTCAGAAAGCTCCGAGCTGCCAAGCTTCTTGATGTTCTTGGCACCTGGCAAAAAAACGATGCTCCAAAGAGCCGAGACAGCAACGACTGAAAGGACCCGTGCCGTCTTTGCTGTCTTTGTTGTCTTTGGTTTCTTTCCCTTCTTGACCGGCTGGAGCGACCTGCACTTGCAGAGCTCTTGACAAGCTGCTCAGGACGAAGGCTGCGTCCTCACTGTGCTGAGATCAGGACTGGTTCAGAGGCTTTGGAACCTTCGCCGTCCTTTTCGTCGCCAGAAACAAAAACTGAAGTGAGGAACAGCTCAGCAGATTCTGCATGGACCTTGTTGGCGAAAACCGCTCGAGCAGCCATCCACGGAGCGGGCCTTGGAACAAGCGACTTGCAACACCGGCAGCTCGTGGCAGTGACGGGGCAGAGGGAATCGAATAAGAAAAACAGAGACCGATGCAATTGCCAGCAGTCGAAGCCAAGCCAAGTCCTTTCACAGCTCCTGTTGCCAAGCCAGCTGAGCACATCACGCCGACTTCTTGGGCTTCGGCTTTTCCACCTCGCATCATCACCATTGCAGAGGCTGCCAACTTCTAGCACATCGTTGTGGGCCACATCTCATAATGCCAGCATTGTGGAAACAGTCAAGAATACTCTGCTGAACTTATTTACAATAAATTTGTAATTCGAGTTTCACCAATCTGGGGGAACCACAGCCGGAGCCTTTTCTTGGCCCACGAGGGCAGCAGCCTGAGCTGCAACAGCAACCTGACAGGTTTTCTTCGGGCGAGTCTCATAGGGGTCAAGTACTGTCTTCCTACCTTTTGGCGTTTTGGGTTTTGGGCTTGAGGGAAGATATCCATCATTGCTTTGCAATTATGATTGCTGCTTTGCCGTTGCAGCGTCTAAGTTGTGCAGTCAACGATACCCTCAGTGCAGGAGTATTGCTGAGACGTGCAAGAAAGGTGCCAACATGGGAAAACAACCCATCAACTGACGTAGGCCCTTTCGAGAGCGAGTACGATGTGTATACTTGTCGGCACATCAGAGCATAGACTGCAAGCACAACTTTGTTGTCATGTACAAACAGGTGACCGGCAGACCCTGGCGCAGATTACTCGTGAGCTGACATGCAAACCGAAGCACCAGAATCAGGATCAGAGTAGGAGGAGCAGGAAAAGCAGTAGCCAGTAGTAGTAGTAGTCGTCGTC